AAAACTCATTCTTCCGTACGTCGCATATCTGTGTAATTTCGCATGTGGTGTTGCATTATGTCCGGGATGATGCACGTCTTTTTATTTTTACCGTAGCTGTTTTGATATTGGAGTAAATGGTTATTTTCGAAACATCCCTACTTTTACTATCCTGTGGAATAGACCGTAGGTTTAGGCAGTTGTCTGGTAGCAGAGGTACTGTAAGCAGATATCCTGGTTATCTGGCCGGCGGTAGTAACACTCGCGGTGCTTACCGCCACTGTTGCTGGAATTTGGCTTGTTCCAGGCGCGCTTAATTTAATAGGTACAGGCACCGTAAGACGGTGGGGCTGTCTTTGTTACTAGACACGACCATGATAGTCCGATCTTTATGTGAATGCAATGATTGTGTGTGTGTAATTAAAATGAAGTTAGAACTTGAAGCACAGTATCTTTACACGCCCTGGGAGCAGTAATGCATTTAGCTCTTTGTATGTTTTATGCTTGTGACGCGCCCTCATTGTATTAACCGTTGCCTAATTATAATGTCTGCACAGTAGGTCTGGCGTTGACGCTTGGGATTTTGTTGAAATATATAAAACTTCACGGAGAATTGTCGCCTATGGCTTCTTGTTCAATTTTTCACCTAAAACAGGCGACACTTTAATTCCGGACTGACACTCTAATTCCGGACTACCTTTCACCATTAAGACATAGTTTGACAAGGAGACTTAATATTCTAGAATATGTTATATTACTCGCTGAAAGTTACGTAGGTATCATCGATAGGTCCCCTGGGACTAGGTCAGTTCTGCAGAATTCTGCATTCGGATGCAGAATTCTGCACAGAATTCTGCATTCGTGCATATTATATGCAGAATTCTCCATCCAAATGCAAAATTTGCACTGCAGCTGTGGCGGTCTGCGTCGCGCTGCGTCACGTGGTGAACCCTGACTTGCCGTGACCTTTGACTGGTGGGAACTGAAGTGCTGTTGTTGTTTTTCATGGGACAAATGATGATTTTCTTCTTCTCTCGCGCGTACTTGCAGTGCCGGGCATGGCGCAGAAGACGTCTTGGGGTCTCTCATATCATAGGAATCGGAACCATGATATCCAACGGGCAGCTTTCCAGTGTAGCCATAATTACAGAAAATTCTGTCACAATTACATTGTACACAGCCCAATTAAACAGCTTGTTGACTTCCGCCATGCTCAGCAAACAATCAGTAATGCTGAGCAAACAATCCGTACAAAATAATTCGAGGAAACAATTAAAAACAAGTAGAAATTGATACAAAAATTTGCATATGACCCATGACCTACTTTGACGTGGTTAATGGGCTGCGTGCGACGCAGGTCTGTTTACATGATGTTTTTCCGCGCCGAAGACTCCCTGCTGTGTGTCTCGACATCATGCACTTGTGGCACCTCCTGAAGGTGCCACAGATAAAACGACGCAAGGCACTGCGCGGTGGTGGGGGGCCTGTTTACACGCTTGAAAAATGTGTCGTACAGGTCACGCACGCGTCAAATGACGCCCAACACAAAAAACGACGCCTTAGCTAGTTAGGCCCAATTTACACGTGCGTCGTTTATATGTGTTGGGCGTAAAATGACGCGAGCGGCGCCGCACCGCTCGTTTTGTAAGACAGATTTTTTATCGTGTAAACAACCTCCGCCACAGACGCGCGGCGCCGCGCGGCGGTTTTGTTGTGGCACCTCCTGGACGTGCCACAGAAAAATGACGCGCGGCGCCGTGCGTCTGTGGAGGAGGTTGTTTACACGATAAAAAATCTGTCGTACAAAACGAGCGGTGCGGCGCCGCTCGCGTCATTTTACGCCCAACACATATAAACGACACACGTGTAAATTGGGCCTTAGTTTCCAGTACATGCAACACGGAACGCAACCACTCCTCTTAGGAGCAAAGCTCATCATCAGGTATCATGAATATTCTGTAGCAGTAAAGAAAAGGAATCATAATATGTTTAGATACATTGTGCATCCAGAGTGTACCTAAAAGTTTACTTGAAACTACACTCTGGGCTGATTCTGCCCTTGTGGGTGCTTAGATTGCCACTGGCTTGAGCATTGATTAGTTCTGGTCCCACCCACATGATTGTTAAAACAAACAAATCCTTAAGGCTGGCCCACACTCCTAGAAAATCTTCATTAGTCACACCAGGGCTCCTCTCAAATCTGGCACACATGTACATGTATGGTATGTATGTGCCTGCTAAGTACTTAGTACCTTGATGACAGGTGTCCTGTCCCTGTGTAACACAAACCCTCATTGGAGCTTCTCCCAACAGAGGGATTCAGGCTACCCTTCCAAACCCAGCTGTGACAACCCCCAAGTTGACAGAATTACATGTACATTTATAGGTCATACAGAAAGAGAAGACGTGTTTTATAGCAGTTGACTCATTATTAGGTATTTAGGCAGACCCACCTGCAACCTGATACTAGTAGTCAATGTAGTTTGGATATAAAAACATATCATTAAGTGCAGAACAGTCATCATCAAACATGCAGATATCTCTGATTGTTTAGTACTGCTCTAGAAATATCCTGGGTGCCAGAACTGAGCCCTTAGAATTATAAGGCCCCCAGAGGCCACTGGGCCTTGCTTTTGAAGGCTTGATGTGCCTCCATGCACCTTTTTAGGACATTGAACATGTAAATTCTTCTATCAAAGTCTGATAAAATGATACAATGATAAAGTTGCATGAATTAAACTTGCCATATAATATCGCCACCTTGAGAAAAAGTGTGCTTAAAGATATTCTTACTGCAACATACTTTTGGTATGCACTCCTGCACACCTCAAATGTACATACCTAGGGTATGTTGCTGCAGTAAAAATATCTGTAAGCACATTTTTTCTCAAGGTGGCGATATTAATATGGACCCTGGTGATATTATGGACATGGATGTTATAGATATAAAGTACTACAGTCTGCTTATAGTCTGTGTCCTCAAAGCAGTTATTTTTTCCAGCATTCCTTCACCAACAGAGGCCCTCTAACAAAACAAAATGTTGCCCCTCAGATAGAGGTTGACCCATAGAGGGAATTGGGGTCAGTTGAATGACCTAAGAAGGTTGGCCTGAGCCTGGCCCATGAAATGTATTCCTGAGAAGGCTAGCTCAAATTATTTTGTTCTACTTCTAGACTGAAGGCAAAAGACCTGAGAAAGTACTCAGTCTGTCATATCCTAATTCTAGATATCGATGTACCTTTACCTTTTACCTAGTCCCATCCTCATGTCTGAGGGTCGGGGACTATACTAGATGTACAGATGGATATCCCCAGTACCATTATGTCATTGTATGTGTATCAAAAACACAAACAAACATGCACACAATTGCACAGAGATTTTTTGCTGCAATGTACATAAGATGAAAGGATAAATACATTGTATTTCCCATTTCAGATATATATATAGAACATTGAACAAATTTGCTTCATCTATCTGGTATTCAATCCAATGAGCCATTTGTATGGCCATGCTTCAGTTCAGTTTTCAATGATGTAACTTAACACAGAGCTGATAACCTTGCAAAACAGCGTTTCCTACAAGCATGCAC